TGAAAACGTATAGTGTGTACCTTCTAAAAATGAAACCTACATCTATCTCTGAGTTGTGAAGAATATGTATTAAGGTTGTAGCAACCAACAAGAATGCACTTTTATGTAGAAATCCATGATTAAATTGAGTCCTCCTGACTGGTGACTTAAATAAATCCACTCTGCTGCTATCATGGCCATAACGTCTGATTTAGCTAGAATATATATTTTTTAAAATACATCCAATCTTGATTTAAAAATTCAGTGGAGAAACAGTAGATTGTTTCAATGGTTAATAAATGTCACTATTAAACATTTCTACACTATATTTAGTTTGAATTTGATGCAATCAGCCTCTTCAAAAACTTCAGCCACCTGTGCTGTATCTATTCTTCCAATTTCTTCATCTGTCACAGGTCCCCTGTAAACCACAGTGACCTATGAGGACAAAACTAGGGAGAAAGATGTCTAGAAACCACTCTCCCAACAGTTGATGACAAAAGATGATAAAATTATACTACACCTATTATTTTCCCTCAGATCCCTTGGGAAACAACTTGAATATGCAACCCCCTGGAATAATAATTCCTATTTGTGACCATGAAATTCTGACCCAACACAAAACATTTATCATTTTCATAAGTGGTTCTCAAACATTTTCCATTTGCAATCCAAAAACCACCTGTTGTCTCTTGCCATTTACTCACCCATCCTACAATCCTCTCCTCTTGGACTGGGTGAGATGCAAGAAGAAACCAAAGGGTTGTAAGCTTAGTGAACTGCAGCAAACAAACAAACAAAAAAAACCTGTCTGATTTTGTGTGTTTGTGAATGTTAGTGGGATTTTTCCTGGGGTGCATGGCTTCTTTGTGTAGCTTTTGGAGACGCTTGGTGCTGGTTGTGGGGCTAGCAGACTTTCTGGGTGAAGGCGCCTCCCCACTCACTGAGTGGAAAGCTGAGCAGGGAGTGTTGAGAAGCTTTCTCTGGATTGGGTGGGAGGCTGACTTCTAGTGACCATGGGATTTTGCTGCTTTTTTATTCCATCAGAGTATGAGCCAGTGATCAACCCCCTGTGACCTGCTTGCTAGTCATACCAGCCAGTTAGGAAGTCCTGATCTCTGTGGGTTTTAGACACTGAACATTATCACGCTCAGTGCCTCGTAATACAGCACCGAGGAACTTTATGAGATCACCCACCAACATCACAATGCAACGGAGCAGTCTCCAATCCAGAACTTGTTCAATCCTAACTTCATCCTGGGACTCACATACTAGTAGTCTCACAATATTTGGGGCAGGAGACCTGAGCATATTTCAGTTTACAAAGGAGACTGGCAACAATTCTGGATATCTGACATGCCCCTCCAAAATCAAACCAAATCAGCCAGAAGGGCAGTTCACTTCTGCCAGCTTTGGAAGATGTACCTGTCATAACCTCTAGGTGTATTTATGCAAAACCACTTAAATTAACTAGTAACTAAACTGGCAGTGTCAACTAACAAGACCTCAGAAAACCTAACACAAATCCCCAAAGCCTTGGTCTGAGCTGCTCCTCAGACAAAAACCTGTGTAAATACAGTCATCGCAGTGTGAACTGAAGGTCATTAAATTCAGGATTTGTCAGACCGATGAGATGGAGAAAGTTTAAGAGAAAAGGACCTTTTGCTAAAAATGTCTGCTTCCTAATTGCATAAATGTGGGGGCACCAGAGCTGATCCCAGTTGAGCCAAACTGACTACTTGACCCAAAGCTTGTGCAGAATATGAAGTACAGATATAATAAATTCCATTGGAGATATGCCACTTAAACAGGAATATTAGAAACAGTTTGAGTTTGTTGGTCTCTAAAAATTTCACATTTTCTCTAAATTGACTCAGAAGTCCATTGATTTATCTGATAGCGGAATGGAAAAATCAGAGGTTACCAGCTGCAGAAAAGTGGTAGTGCAGATTTTTGTTTTGTTTTGCTGAAACAGTCCTTTTCCAAAAGTCTTTATTCCAGAAAGAACTACCTAATTCACCTGTATTACTTCAAATGGTTAACCTAAGGCTACACTTCTAATTAGATAGTCAATCCTCTGAAGCAAAACCACCTATGGGCTGGTATTTGGTATTTTAGCACTACTTGGTATAAATGAATCTGTCCTGCTTAAGAAACTCTGATCATTCTGTAATGTAATACCTTTCAGAGTAGTAGCCGCGTTAGTCTGTATCCGCAAAAAGAACAGGAGTACTTGTGGCACCTTAGAGACTAACAAATAAATTATGCCCAAATAAATTTGTTAGTCTCTAAGGTGCCACAAGTACTCCTGTTCTTTTTTCTGTAATACCCTGCAGCTGGAAATCAACTTCTCCCCTCCAGCTCATTGACAAACAGGGACCCGCTATCACCCTACGGCCCCCCCCTTCCCCTCCGAACACCCAACAGGACAAATCAACATGCCTGGCTCGTGCCCCTTGTTCACCAAACCCTACTTGAATCTCTTCCCACTGCCCAGCCTTGGTGTAAGGGGACTGTTGCCCCCCTACTAACATTCAGTGGGGGTGTTTTGGTTGCTAGCTCCCAGCACTAAAAGGGGAAGGGTCGATGGCAAATCAGGAGCCTGAGACTGACAGACCCCAGGAACAATGGGGAGAGGCCAATGCTCCAGATCAGCCTGATTGACAGGGTGGGCAGGCTAATCAGAGAGTCAGGAAGCCGGGGGGTCCCATCCTCCTTGTGAACTGGAATTGCCTGGGTCAGACAGAGTGGGGCCGAGCTAAGGAGAGAGCAGGGGCCTGAGCTAAACTGCTGGAAGCAGCGCTGCAGCCCCAAAGCCAGAGCACAGCCCAGAGAGAGCAGACCTGCAGCAACCAGAGCCAGAGGTGCCAGACAAGCAGCCAGGAAGCAGGTCAGAGCTGGGAGCAGAGTCACAGAAGTAGCCTGCAGAGCAGACATGTCCTGGGAGCAGAGCTGTAGCAACCAGAGCTAGAGAGGCCAGAGAAGCAGCCCAGGGAGCTGAAGGCAGAGCAGCAGCCATGCTGAGGCCGAGTGGAGCTGGAGCTGGGGCTGGAGCTGTCTGGAGCCGGGTGCGGTGAGCAGCTGAGGAGACTGAGGGGGACCCTGGGCAGTGGGCCCAGTGCAGGGAGACGCCTCAGCCAAGAGGCTCTGCAGGCCAGACTTGGAGGGGATTGTAACCCCGATCGGGCAGGGGCAATGCTGGAAAAAAGGGTCCTGCCACCTAGAGCCTGAGAGCGTGTAGCCACCGCCAGAGCAAGTATCCAACCCGCAGCGTCTCTGCAGCACAGCCCGGGCCTGAGAAGGA